GAAGTCCACAAGTCTTAAAGCTATCAAGTTACAAGATCCTTGCACCCATAACCCTTTAGGAAAAAAAAAACCCCAGGGGTCTTCAAACCTGACAGCTTTAAGACTTGTGGACTTCAACTCCCAGAATTCCTCCTCCAGTCATGTTGCGGCAACGTCATCTGCGTGAATCTGCTCCATCTTCAGATTTTTTCACAGGGGACAGGGCTGCCGCTGAAGATGCCAACGAGCCCCCACCGCCACTAGAATAACTGTTGCCGCCTCCTGCTCCTCCTCCAACAGCACCATCACATTTGCTGCCCAGCGCTGCAGCTAAGGTGAAGCCGCCAAAGCTCCCGCTGATGCCCCCACCCATGGCAGCGGAGGCGGTGCCTCCCCCTCTGCTCGGAGCACCTCAGCTGGGCTCCGGGTTACCCCGGCCACTGCCTCCACCTCCACCGTGCTTTTGAGACGCCTTGAAGCCTTTTTTTCCTGCTCCCGCTCCCTCCACCGCCTTCCTACTAGCTCCCACGGCCTCATGGCTCCTCAAAAGCATGGCAGAGGAGGAAGGGGGAGGGATAACTTGGGGCCAGCTCAGGTGCTCTGCGTGGAGGGAGAGGCACCACTGCCATGGGCAGGGGTGCTGACGGGAGCTTTGGCAGCTTCACCTCAGCCGCAGCATCGGGTGGCAAATCCAGCAGTGCTGTTGGAGGAGGAGGAGGTGGCAGCAGATATTCTGGTGGTGGCGGGGGCTTTGCAGGTTCACTTCAGTCGCAGAGCCGGGCGCAAGCGGCTAGGATTGGCCACCCACAAAGGACCTCCCCGGCCTTGCTTTGCTGAACACAGAGTGACTGATGCTAGTTTCAGCGGCCGCGGCCAGCGCAAATTCCCGTCAGTCGCTCCGTGCTCATCAAAACAAGTCTGGGGAGGTCCTTTGTGGGTGGTCAGTTCTAGCCACCTGCAAAGGACTTCCCCGCGTTTGCTTTGCTGAACACGGGGCGACTGACAGTAATGAGCGGCACAGCCGGTGCCTAGGAGGTCATAGGAGACTGGCTGTGCTATGTAAGCTCCTGCCGCCGTCCCTGCACCCATGCTAACCCTAGATTTTCTGAGGCCCCTCAGCGTCTGGAGCCTGTGACAGAAATCACTGTGTGGCAGTTAGAAACAGCTGCGTGGTGTTTTCTTGCCATGTGCATGGCCACGCAGCTGTGCACCTTAGAGGGAACAGTGCTCTTGTGACAATA